GCACGAAAAATAATGAAAAAAAGTGAGAAAAAGAAGAGCAAATTAAATGTGAAGGAAGACCAGGTGTCAACGTGAAGGACTGGTGTGGGACACGCACTTGTAATGCCAGCACTCCGAGGTGCTGGGGCAGCAAGATGGAGCGTTCCAGGTCAGTTTAGGCAATTTAGCAAGACCCTGGCTCAGAATAAGAAAGAGCTTGGGGTGTAGCACAGTGCAGAAGGTTTGGGTTCAACCCCCAGTGTTGGTCGAAGAGAGAGCAAAAGCAGACACAGAAAAAGTGGTGGAAAAATGTCTAACACCAAAGGCAGGCTGACAAACTCCGTCAGAAGTGGGCAGGCAAAGCAGGGAGGACACCGTTGCCAGGAACAGTTCTAGAAAGCTCATTACTACAGGTACTGGAAAGATAGTAAGAGAATACTGTAAACCACCTTGTGCTAAGACACTTAGCGTGTTGTAAGAAACGGGAAAATTCCTTGGAAATACAGTTTATCAGAGAGAAGCAAAGGGCCAGGGATTTAGCTCAGTGAAAGCACTAGGTCGTGAGTTCAGTCCCTGGTACCAAAAAAAAAAAAAAAAAAAAAAAAAAGAGAGAGAAGCAAAAAGAGAGAGGTGCCTCGGGTTCTAGGGTTTGCTGAGGAGGGTTTACCTGTGAAATCTGTCCCCAGGGAATCTCCCACATGGGACAGCTTTGCCAGCAAGTCCCTTGAGTGGTGCTGGAGCAGAGAATCCACCCAGCCTGGCCACTGCCATGTGCCCAGGCTCGTCCCGGACCCAGTGGATCGGCCTTGCCCCACGTGCCTGCCTCTGCAAGGGAGCAAATGGGGTCGCGGCCAAGCCCGGCGGGTGAGGGTGCTGCAGGTGCACCGTCTTGATTATGTGACGGAACGTTGTCCACTGGGGTTTATGTTTGGATTCATTTCAGAAATGCACTGGGAGTCCGGTCTTTGGAAAATTACGGTTTGACACAATTGCATGACTGAAGGTTCTGGAAATGGCACACACCCACCCTTTGCTTATGGCAGCAAACCTGGCAGCCCTGGGCGATTCACTGGTACTATCATGAAGGAGGTATTTGTTTGCTTTGCTGTACTCGGGACTGAATCCATGGATGCTCTGCCACTGAGCTACATCCCTAGCCCTTCTTAACTTTGCATATTTATTTCTATATTTTGAGACAGGGTCTCGCTCTGCAGTCCAGGCTGGCCTTGAATTCACTGTGTAGTTTAGGCTGGCCTCACACTTGCACCAATCCTCCTGCCTCAGCCTTTGGAGAGCTGGTGTTACAGGAATGAGCCACAAGCCCTGGCCTGGAATCTTCTGTGCACTGGGCTTGGCTTCCTGTTCCACTGCGGAGGAGCAAGGGCAGACAGCCAGGGAGTGGGTCGGGGCCAAACAGCTTCCCTGCCTGGGAACTGGGCCCCTGGCAGTGAGTGACTAGGCCACCCCAGGGACCTAGCTCTTGAACCGCACCCCTATGAGCTTGTTTCCAGGTGCTGGGCCCAAACCCAGGGCCTTGTGCTGGGCAGTCAAGGGCTCTACCCTGGCCTCCACCATTGCCCTGGAGATTGGGAACCAGGACACAGCCATGGGACACACAGACCAGACACTATGTCCTGTGGAAACTCTGTGGGACACACAGGCTGCAGCCCCGGACCCAGTGACAGGTGCCACTAGGCATTTCCAGTGAAAAACTAGTTAGATCACAGCGGGCAAGTGTAGTGCTGCTCGGCGCCTGGCACGCAGTGGGCCCTGGACCCCATTGCAGCGCCACCACTACTGCCAACCACGGTGCCCAGAGCCACCTGTGGCAATCTCCCTTAGGGGTCCTGGCAGTGGATGTGTGGGAACCCCATCTTGACCCCTGGAACTGGTAGTGGATCTTATCTGTTCAAGGAGGCATGGCAGATGTGGTTGAATGAAGAGCTCAAAGATGTCTTCCTAAGGCAGAGAAGGCCACAGAAAGATAAGGGTGGGAAGGGGGCCGCTGCCTCTCTCTGGCATGATACCGTAAGACCCAGGGTGTTCGGAGTTTTGTTATGGCTGTGACAGGAAAACAGAAAATGTGTCACTGGAGGACAGCTTCAGATGTCCAGGCTGTAGTTTTTTAGTAGAGGGATTGAACACAGGGCCGCACCCACACCGGGCAAGTGCTCTGCCACATCCAAGCCCTTTCTAAATTTTATTTTGAGACTCTGGCCTTGAAGTTGTGATCTGCTTGCCCTGGCTTCCCAAGTAGCTGGGACCACAGCCGTGCACCACCATGCCTGGCTGATGGATCTGCTCCAGCTGCGTCTCCTTCTTGAGCAAACCCTCCTTACACAGATGGGCTACTACTCATCTGTTCTAAATTATTTTTTAAGAAAAAAGTGGTTCCTGTACCCCCCAATAGAAAAAAAAAAAGGTGTAAAGATAAGTATGTATTTGACACGCAGGCCTGAATCACTAGAGGAGGCTAACGTTATGTGGTATTTAAAAATGTATTTTATTTTATTTTATTTATTGATTGATGGTCTTTTTTTTTTTTTTACTGGTACCAGGGCTCAAACTCACGACCACGCACTTGTAAAGCAGGTGCTTATGCTGTTGAGCTAAATCCCCAGCCCCGACTGATGGTCTTTTTGAGACAGGGTTTTGCTATGCAGTTCAGTCTGGCCTTGAACTCACTTTGTAGCCTACACTGGCCTTGAACTCACAGTGAATCTCCTGCCGCAGCCTCCAGAGTGCTAGAATTACAGGCATGTGCCATCACCCCTGGTAGTAATTCAGAATTTTAATTTTCATGGTTATAGAATCGGTACAGAAACCATGAATGTGTTCCCCCAAAAGTTGTTTTACGTAAAATCCTGTAGAAACCCCTTTTCTGGGTTTTCTTCCCACCCTAGAGAGTTGGCACCCAGGGGGAGAAAGAGGAGAACAGCTGTGAGCCAGGTGCCCTGGATGCCAGGGAGGCTGAGGACCAGCTGAGACCCTCCACCCTAGGAGTGGTGTGGAGTTCCTAGTGTGGTGTAGGGGTGGCCGGGCACGTGCAGGCGGTGGGAGGGGGTGTGGCAGGCCTAGCGCAGATTTACCTGCCAGGTTGTTCCTGAGCACCAAGCAGACCAGGCTCCTCCTGCTGCTGCCCACTGTGGACGCAGAATGAGTGGGACCTGCAGGGCCCCCAGCGCTATGGAGAGCTTCCTGCCCAGGGCGTGGAGTGACTTAGGGTTACACAGGAAGCAGCGGTCACAGGCAGGTGGTTGGCCCACTCTCCAGGCCCTCTCCAGGGATGACCTGGGGCAGTGGTGCAGTGACCTAGCTGAAGTGTTACTCTCAAGGGGAGAAAAAGGGAAGCAAATGTTGGACAATAGAATCTGTAATAAGTTAATTGAAACATTTAAATGACTACGTGGTTAAAAAATGTGACATCGTATCTGGGCCCATGGCCTGTAATCCCAGCACTCTGGGAAGCTAAGGTAGGAGGATCCCAAGTTTGAGTTAGCAAGAATTTGTCTCAAAAATGGAAAAATAGGGGCTGGGGATTTAGCTCAGTGGCATAAACACCTGCCTTGCAAGCAGGCGGTCATGAGTTCCATCCTCGGTATGGATAAAAATGAAAAAGACAAAAAAAAAAAGGAAAAATAAGAAAAGGACTAGGGCTGCGTATGGTGGCACACACCTGTAGTCCCAGCACTCAGGAGGCTGAGGCAGATGGAGTACTGTGAGTTTGAGACGAGCAATGGCTACATACATACTGAGTTCAAGTCCAGCCCCTAAACCTTACAGTGAGACCCTCAGAGAAAAGATGGTGGTGATATGTGATACAGTTCAGTGTGTAGGCTCTGGGTTCAGTCTCTAGTATTATCACAGAAACAAAAAGCAAAGCAAACCAAGCAACAAAAATGTGGCATTGGGCCGGGATATAGCTTAGTGGTGCAGCGCCTGCCTGGCAAGCATGAGGTCTTGAGTTTGATTCCTGGTACCCCCAAAAAACCCCCAAAACAAATAAAAAACACAAAAAAACCACGTGGCATTACAAAGAGGTCGCACTGTGTTAAATATTACGTTCCACACAGTGTACACATTTAACTCCAATTCTGTGAGGATACACATGTGCATGTGTCATATGCTTCGATGGAGACACCATCATCTGTGAGTGATGGTTTCACCCTTTGGGCCATGTGGACCCCTTTCCTCCTGCCGATGGTCCCGAGTGTAAGGCAATGGCTCACATCTGATGAAAGGGCCAGGAGGACACATTCTCCCCCATGGAGACTTGGCTTTCCTCTTATAGGCAGACACAGCACTGTGTTTGGCGGCTCTGGCAAGAACACTGGCTGTGGGCTGTGATGTCCCTGTGGCCTGGTGTCAGCTCATAGGATTCAGAGCCTCTGATTCTTCTGCCTGACTCTTGTTCCTGGATTGGGGCACTGTTCTTGGAGTGCTGGGCTCAGGAATGTGAGGGGAGGGCTCACAGGAGACCTCATGGTCTCCTGGCACTGCCAGGACCTGCCGGTGTTCAGGCCTGGTGTACTTGGGGCTGCTCTGCACCAGCCCATCTTCAGATTCTGCATTGGCAGGGACCTCAGCAGTGCAGCAGGACTGGGCCACCTCGGGGTGCGCTGAGTTGCTGAGGCTGGCTGCAGGCCACCATTACCCAGGACAGCACAGGTCAAACTTGGGGACTCCCCTGGTAGGTGGTGTCTCCTGCCCTCTGCAGTCTTCTGTGCCTGCGCCCACACGTGGCACCAGCTTTCTTGTCTGCCTCCCATAGGCTGTGTCTGACTTGTCCTTGTGCCTGGTACTGTTCCTACGCATGTGTGGGATCTGAAGGGACGGAGGTTTGGACAGGACCGAGCCAGCTTGTGCAGGTTGCCAGGCTGAGCTCTCCTTGGCTGGGACATGGCCTTGGGGCCTCTTGCCTAGGCTCAGGCTGCAGGGCCCCTGGGGCAGTGGGTAGACAGAGGTGTAGGTAGGAGTGAAGGGGCTGGCTGAACCCTAACACCTCCACTGCTGTTTTTCAGTGAATGAGTTCACGGTGATCAGGAAGAAGTTCAAGTGCCCCTACTGCAGCTTCTCGGCGATGCACCAGTGCATCCTCAAGCGGCACATGCGCTCGCACACGGGGGAGCGGCCGTACCCGTGTGAGATCTGCGGGAAGAAGTTCACGCGGCGTGAGCATATGAAGCGGCACACTCTGGTGAGTGTGGGCACACGGGGCCAGGCGGTGCTGCATACCCAGAAACAAGGCCCACGCGATGGGGAAGGAAGACGGAGCAGGCGGAAAGAGCAGCACCCACCTGGCAGGGTCTCCCACTGCTGCACTTAGAACTGGGTGCAACCGGGTGTGGTGGTGCACCCTGTAATCCCAGCACTCAGGAGGCTGAGGCAGGAGGATCATTGAGAGTTCAAGACCAGCCCGAGCTACAAAGTAGGCCCAAGGCCAGCCTGAACTGCATAGTGAGACCCTGTCTCAAAAAGACAAAGGGTGCAGGAGGCCGCCTGTCACCACTGTCCATCTGCTGGCCTTGCCCCAGTGTTGGTCTGCCTGTGCCCTGCACCTGCACCAGGCACAAGCTCAGCACCTGCAGGTCGCTGTTGGGTAACAAGGGCTGGAGGATAAAGCTGTGGAAGGGAGGCAGGTTTGCCCCAAGAGGCAGCAGGAGGGCACCTGGTGGGGATAAACTATCAAGGCCAGGCAGGCACAGGCAGTACCCAGGGGCTGTATCCCTGATTCCCTACATGTCTGTTTTCCTGTGAGTTGGGGACACAGGGTGCAAGAAGGGCCTAGGACAGACAAAAGACAGACTAAAGATGGATCTATAGGCACTCAGAGCCCCTGAAGTCTAGGGAGTGGGTTTTAGAACTTGTCCTCTAGTTGTATTTGCTCATGTTTAGTTCAATAAGCCGAAGATGATTTCATTTTAAAACCTTGAAGGAGTGTATGCACCTATTTCTACTTTTTCCCTACCCAGGGAGAACCAGCCTTTGCTTTTCACACTGATAGGGGCTGAACAGGCTTAGCGATGGTGGTTGATAGGATTTTTTTGTACCAGGAATCAAACTCACAGCCCTGTGCTTGCCAAGCAAGCACTGTGCCACTGAGCTACATCCCCAGCCCTTAATCAAAACTACAATAATGTTTTAGTACACATCTGGACCCATGTGGGAGTCCTGTTCGCCACCTTGGGTAACAGCTGGAGGTTTACCTTGGAATTCATGGCTGGGCTTCAGAGTCTTAGCTCCTAGAAAAATGCACTTAAACAATTGGGGTTTGCTTTTTTCTAAGAATAGTTTCTGTGTGTAGCTTCTCTTGGGGTGCCTGACCCTGAGAAGGGGGAGCCTTCTGTTAGGGGCAGCTCTGCAGCCCACTGGCCCAGCCGCACCTCCACTTGCATCACAGCTTCACAGATACTGCATGTGATCTCTTCCCTGGCATGTGGCAACCCCTCTAGTGTCTCTAGGGCTAGGGCCCTGGTGGCTGGGAGCCGCCCGTTCTGATAGGGTGGACCATCAGCCTCTGCTCTATAACCACCCCCATTAGGGGTGATGGTTGCCATGGCAATCAGCATCCTTCCCTCTGGGTTCCTTCCTAAGCATGTGTCTGTCAGGACAAGTGATGCCTGGCCATCTGGTCCTGATGTGAGGCTCCCCAAGACACCCCTGTCACTTCTTGAGCATCCTACACTGCCCAGGCCACAAAGGCTCTTGGGGTGGACACTAGCTCTTGCAGCTCCTCCTGGGCCTATCTGATCATCCTCTTTGGGGACAGTTTTTCCTGAGACTACTCTAGAAGTTTTATTTTATTTTATTTTTTTGTGGAGGAAAGCAGAAGGAAGACAGATTTAAAACAGAGCGAAAAAAGACAACAGAAAAATCTGAAGAAAGCTCCCCGGGTGCCAGGCCTTAGCCAGCAGTGTCTTTCTCTGTTTCACTCCCACCTGGGTAGCCAGGCCTGCTCCCAGAAGCTGCTCGGTCAGCTCCGCCTCAGGAGCCTGCGCTGGCAGAGGGAGCCGGGACACGAAATGGGGGTGCTGAGGAGAGGTGCTGGAGTGGCCTGGATCTGGCCCACCTGGATCCTGCCGAGCTAGAAGGAGGCTTTGGGAGGCTGTAGGAGAGGACACTGTTGCCCCTGGTGGACGTTTCTTTGAACGCAGGTGTTTGCTGCCACCTGTAAATCTGCCCATGTGGGCAGGGGACTTGAGCAGACCTGGCTGCCCTTGGTCCTGCCACGGACTGCCCCTCCTCCCCTGCCCCAGGGCCTGGGAGAAACCACGCCCCTCTTCCCCTCTCCAGTCCTGACTGCACTGTCCCCTCAGGTGCACAGCAAAGACAAGAAGTACGTGTGCAAGGTGTGCAGCCGCGTGTTCATGTCGGCGGCCAGCGTGGGCATCAAGCACGGCTCACGGCGCCACGGTGTGTGTGCCGACTGCGCGGGTCGTGGCGTGGCTGCGCCCTTGGACCACGGCGGTGGCGAGGGCTCCCCCGAAGCACTGTTTGCGGTTGACGGGCCCTACTTGGAGGACCCCGACGACCCTCGAGTGGAGGGCGAGGAGGAGCTGGGGGAGGATGAGGACGACGACGTGGCCAAGTGGAAGGACGACGTGGGCCTGGCGCATGAGGACGCGTTGCTGGGGGACGACAAGGACGATGAGGACTCCCTGCGGGGTCCCCGCAGTCCTGCCGGGGAGCAGGACAAGGACTTTGCCTGGATTTCCTAGGCCCCGCCCCGTCCCGTCCCGCGCGTGTCCTGTCCCGCGGGTCTCCTGCTGGGCGGGCGCGGCCCCTCCTCGGGCCCAGCTCCGCAGCATCCCGCCGCGGAAAGCAGTGCCATGGGCGAGGGCAGGTGCGACACTGCGAGTGGGGAGCGCGGGGCGGGGCACGAGGTGCGGGTGCAAGTGCGGGTGCCGGGAGGGGGGCACGCTGTGGTCCCCGCGGGTGCGCGCAGCTCCCGGCGCGGCGCTGCCTCTCCCTCCGCCCCGACCTGCCTGCCCCGGGTTCTCCTTCCTGTGCTCGCCGCTCGGGGCCAGCAGAGTCCGGGCTGCCGTGGGGGGAGCTCTGCGACCCTCATACCCGGGGCTTTGGTGCTTAACACGGGGCGGAGCGGCCGGCCCGCGCCAGGTGCTATCTCTCGGGCGGACGGCGGCGCCCCTTCTTGGCCACGCAGGCTCCCCCGAGGGCCGCCTGGCCCGCCTGGCCCCGGCCCCTGGGCTCCGCTCGGGGCTCCTACTGACCCTTCCTGGGACGGCTGGAGCCAGGCTCCGGCCTTTGTTGCTGCTAACGCCGCAGGTGGGGCGCCTAGCTGCGGTGCGCTGCTTGCACCTCCCCACCTGGGTAACCAAATTTTAAAGTAGTCAAACAGATGGAGGTAGTTACAGAAAAGTATTTTGTTTGGCATTATTTTTCTCACTTGATGAAACTATGTGGGGTTGTTTTACTTTTAGCTTGTTGTCAAGTCCTCTTAGGTTAATTTTGAACGATCTTGCTCCAGCCCTGTGCTTTTCGGAGTGAAAGCGAAGGCCGCATTTGGGCACGCTGCGTGCCCCACCCTGCGGGTCCCAGAAGGCCACACTTGGCCTGCAGGACTGACCCCAGGACAGGACACAGGACGGGACACTCCTGCGGCCCAGTGCTGGGCGCGAGGGTGTAGAGTGCTGGCTCCAGCAGGAGGGTTCTAGCATCTTTTCCCAGTCTGCAAGCCAAATGGCTTTGACCAACTTTTTTACTGTGTCACATCTATTCTTTCTAAGTGGAAAAAGGAAAACTCCACAAAAACATAACTTAGGTCTCAGTGGTCCCCTGGTCACATGTCCACTGTAACATTCCCCGAGTGCCAGCCGCCTTACCTGCCACTGCTGACGGGGACAGGGCTGGCGCACATGGGGACATGGGGACATGGTGCTATCCTAGAGGGCCTATGTTACAGGAGAGGAGGCAAAGGTTTTGATTTTTCAAGTAAAGTCAGCCACTGTCTCCCAGTTACAGGAGGCCCCTTCTGGCCTGGTGCGGGGTCTGCTGTCCGTTGTCCCTTGATAGAGGCTGTGAGCCCTTCAGGGCCCTTGGCCTCTCCAGAGACGCCTGCTGCCGGCCATCTGTGAGGGCAGCCCCAGGCACATGGATCAGTAGGGCAGCATAGCTCAGCCCCCACCAAAGGAGCTCTGGGCTGAGCCCCTTTGGCCTTCCCAGCCCCCTTTGAGGGCTCCCTCAACTTTGTACCTTTCCTCCTGCTTTTTAAACACCTTTTCTAATCAGACTTTCTTATAAAATGCATTTGGAAACCAGACCTTTGCTACCAGCGTCTCTGGATTTTGTACCAGTCCCCAGTCTCAGGCGCCACCCCAAGGCCCCGCTGCCTCTGCACTCAGGACCTCCCGCTCTCCTGCCTGCTGCGCCACCTCTGCCGGCCTTCCCTGCCAGTGCCTAGGAGGCACCTTCTGGAAACCCAGGGTCCCAGCCCCAGCCCTCCCCTGTGTTTGCTGTGTGGTGGCTTGGTTGCTCCCATCAGCTTGCTAGTGGGTGTGGAGCCTCCCAGACCCAGATGAACACGTCCACCTCAGCGGAGGCTGGGAGGGAGGCGGACGTGATGGAGGTTTTTTTTTTTTTTAACGTGACTTTTTTTTTTTTAAATCAATGTTCAAACTAATAAATATTTTTTTATGAAGAACGTGTAGATTACATTTCACATTTTGTATTTTTGTTTTCTATCTGTTTTGGTGTTTGCAACACCAAAATGGGAAAGTCACTGGGGCGTTACTGAGGGGCAGGGAAACCCTGCGATGTTTGTATCCTGCTCTGGATCCTGGCCAGGTTGTACATTTGGACTCTGGGATTTGGGAAACAGGACACTGCCAGGACTTGACAGGGACCTGACTCAGAAAGACATAGTTATGCTTCCAACTTTGCACATCTTCCTTTTTAGAAACTGAGAAAATGCAAAAACTGGAACTTTTTGCAATATTATGAGAATTAATCTTACTTTGGCTCATTCTGTGACATGTGCAACTCTTATGAAAGCCATACTTAGTGGTGGTTGTCTCTTATTTTTTAGATCCTATGTTGTGTTTTGTATTGCAGCCCTGTCGATGTCCGCTCCCGGCCGGCAGGAAGGACACACGACACAGTCTGGTAGTGGACAACCTTTTCTTTTTATTCTTCTTCTCCGTACAGCCTGCCCTGGGTTCTCCCAGCTGAAGCCTCCTTTGGTCCGCTCCCCGCGGCTCCTTTTGTGCTTCAGCCTGCCCCAAAGCCTCTACCGGTCCGCTCTCCGCGGCTCCTTTTGGGCTTCTACTTCCGGGCTTCTATCTGGCTTCTTCTTCCGCCCAGGGGTGGCACCGGTATATATACGGGTACAGTGTCCAATCATGTTAAAGTAAGCAAGGCAAGCTGATTGGCTAACATCATCAGTTGCCAGGCAGACTATATTGTTGAGCGGGTTGTTTACGCGGTAAGCAGGAAACTAACATATTCGATGGGAGGGGCAATCTACCTCAGGCTTCACTCTTTACTACAGGCCTCACGTCCGCCAAGTGAGGCGACCGGGCTCGGGGCTGCGGCTCCCAACATCTCCCCCTTTTTTATTTTTTATGAATGTGCGCATCGTAGCCCTTCCTGGACTGGGTGCAGAGGCTTATGCCCTATGCGTAGGCCCACCGTAGGTCCTTGGCTTAGACCCTGGTCGGCCGTCCCATGGTCTGCCAAGGCCCTGAGGCCCTCGTCCTTTTTTTAGGGCCAGGCACAAACTGGACGGAACCTGGATGTACACAAGCTTGTACTCATTTTTTCTCCGTAAAGAAATCCCCTCGGAGAGAAATTTAGACCTGGGCAGCATCTAACAGTCCAGCGGCTTACGTGCAGGATGGGGTAGGGCCTGGCTTAGGTCGAGTCATGCTGGGGAGGCACGCTCTTACCCGTCATTGACTCATCTACCCTGCTATATCATAATTTTTTAGAGGAGGAGTGTGGGAAGCTCACCGTCCCTAGACTCGGTCGTAGGCTAGGCGAGCGAGCCATGCATATGCCTGAGGATCTTCTTGTCCATTTTGGGCTACCGCTATTTCTATTCATCTTGTTGGTTGGTCTGTGATGGATCTCTAGTAGGGCAGGTCTGATCTTCAGTCGAGGGCTTTGTTGCCCGTGTCAGTCTCTCCGGTATCCACAGTGGTTCTCGTCCCGGTTCCTGTGGGAAAACACAAACCGCGCCTCGGTTCCAGCTGATTACCGGATCTGGGCCCATCCATTGTCCTGTCAGGACATCTTTCCACTTCACCCACCCTTTATGGTTGGGGGAAGGGTTGCAGTGCTCCACAGCTGGGGAGCGATTATCATTATTTAAATTTAAAAAATTGTGTGTGAATAGTGCCATGGATAATCGTGCCTTTGGGGCCAGGCCTTGGCCTACTCCCCCTTTTTGTTTTTGTAAAATTTTTTTGAGGCTTTTATGAGCCCTCTCAATGATTTTTTGACCTTGGGGATTGTATGGGATATCATGTTTTAATTGAACCTCTATTATTTTGTAGAACTTATTGAAGGCTTTGTCTATATAGGCTGGTCTATTATCAGTTTTTAATATTTTTGGTTTGCCCCATGTGGCCCAAGCTGCCAGGCAATGATTGATCACATTAGACACTTTTTTACCTGTTTTTGTTGTTGTAAATATGACGCGAGAACAGGTGTCTGTGGAAACATGAACATATTTAAGAGTCCCAAACTCCTGTATATGTGTGATGTCTATCTGCCAAACATCACCAGGGATCAAACCTCGAGGGTTTACTCCCATCGGTATGGCAGGTTTGTATGTGGCACAGGAGTCACATAGTCGCACGATATCTCGTGCATCTGCTCTAGAAACATGGAAATGGTTTGTTAGTGTCTTGGCATTAACATGAAATTTATCATGGAAGGCACGGGCTCGCTCGATTGGTGTTAGTAAGGTAAAAATCTATAACGGGCGAGTGGCAGTGTCAGCAGCCGCATTTCCCTGTGCCATAGGCCCTGGCAGGGATGTATGTGCTCTTATGTGGGTGGTGAAGACCTTATGGTGTCTGTTCTGAAGCAATGTCTGGATAGACAGGAACAGTCTAGCCACTGTGGAAGTGGATCTAATTAAACCGGCAGTCTTAAGCACTTGCATAGCATTGACCACATACCTAGAATCGGAGACAATGTTAATGGCCTCTGAGAACCGTTTAAGAATCATTTTAACGATCTGTAGTTTTATCACCTGAGGCTGATCTGGTTTAAATTGTATGGTAACCGGGGGCTTGTCTAGGATCACATAGGCGCCTATCCCCGTCTTGGAGCCATCTGTGTATATTGTAGTTGCTGGGACTAATGGCTCAGAGGCAGTAACCTTTGGAAAAATTATAGGGTGCTGAGTGACAAATGACAAGATAGGGTCTTTAGGGTATTGATTGTTTATATCCCCATGGAAAACACATCTCAGAATGGCCCAAGTATCTATGCAGGCAGCCAGGGTCTTGATCTGGCTGGCGGTATAGGGTACTCGGATGGCTTGTGGTCCTGAGCCAAAATGTTGGACAGCTCTATCATGCGCTTCAAGGGCCAATGAAGCGACTGTCTCCGGGTAATGCTCTATGACTTTTGCAGGTGAGACCTTAGGGTGTATCTACAGTAGTGGTCCTTTTTGCCAAATCACCGCTGTAGGCTGTAGACTAGTCTGTAGCAAACAGACATCAAAGGGTCGCCCTGGTTTAATTCTGTGTAAGGTAGCCCCACCTAAGGCTTCCTCTATTCTCTGTAAGGCAGCTCTTGCCTCAGGAGTGAGCCTCCTGTGGGAGGCTATATCTGGGTCTCCCTTCAGAAGGTCGAACAGGGGTTTGAGATCTGAATTTGGTATATGTAAATATGGCCTAATCTAATTAATGTCTCCCAATAGCTTTTGTATGTCATTTAGGGTCTTAACGCCATCCGTCTTAATGGTGACCTTTTGCGGAGAGACTAGCATAGGGGAGATTCTCGCGCCTAAGTAGGTCACCATTTTTTTTCCCTGAATCTTGTCGGGGGCAACATGTAGATTAGCTTGTCTCAGGGCCTCGACCAACTGGCTGAGCATATTATTTAGCATGTCTGGGTCCCTGCCGCTGAGCAAAAGGTCGTCCATGTAATGTATACATCTTATCTTGGGAAAGGATTTTTGTAGGGGGGCCAGTAGGGAATCAAGGTAAATCTGACACATAGTGGGACTGTTGGCCATGCCTTGGGGCAACGTTACCCACTCGTATCTGAGATCAGGGCTTTCTTGGTTAATGGTGGGCAAAGTAAAGGCAAACCTATGAGTGTCCTCTGGGTGCAGGGGAATTGAGAAGAAACAGTCTCTAAGGTCTATAACATAAACTGGCCAGGACTGAGGGATGGCTGAGAGAGCTGGCAGCCCCCTCTGGACCGCCCCCAGGGACTGCATCTGTGCGTTGACCGCCCTTAGATCATGGAGCAGCCTCCACTTGCCAGACTTTTTTTTAATTATAAAAATGGGGGTGTTTCATGGGGAGGTTGATGGCTTAATATGTCCTAATCTAAGTTGTGTACTGACTATTTCTGACAAGGCTAATAGCTTTTCCTTAGGCAGGGGCCACTGAGGTACCCAAACCGGATCATTTGATCTCCAGGTGATTTTGATCGAAGTGGGTAGGAGAGCTTTTTCAGCGGCCCCTAAGAAAAACCCAATCTTTGCCTACCTTTTTTGTTTTCTACTGGTATTGGGGATGTCCGACCCTGTAGGGCATTGCCCAAGCCTTTGCCGGGGGTATATCCCTGGTTTTTGAGTATATCCTTAGCCTGGGGGGAGCAGTTTGACGTAAGCGTGACATCCATCTGAGTGAGGATGTCCCTTTCCCATAGAGACACTGGCAACTGCAACACAAACGGTTGGAAATGGCCCTGATGACCCTCCTCATCGCACCAGAGCAGGGTTGAAGCACTAACCTGAGGAGCTGACACCATCCCCAGGCCCTGCAGCGTGTTATCTGCAGTGTTGGTGGGCCAGTTGGAAGGCCAATCCTTTCTGGAGATAATGGAACGGTCAGCTCCTGTGTCTAGGAGCCCTGTTATATTTTTGTCATTGACCTTAAGTGAGAGCATGGGCCTTTTATCAAGTGTCATATGGAGTCCCTCAAAGACTTCCCCTGAGGAACCGAAACCTTGACTTTTTCTAATTTTTTGCTTTGAGGGAAATCTCTTGTGGAGACTGGGGAGCAGCAAGAGCTGCGCTATCTTGTCTCCTTTATTAATTACCATAGTACCCACAAGAGATTGAACCATAATTTTAATATGTCCTGTGTAGTCTGAGTCTATGACCCCCGGGACTACTGTGAGACCCCGAAGGGCCGTGGAGGATCTCCCGATCACCAGACCCACGGAATTTTCGGGTAACGGTCCCTTAAAGGTGGTTTCAACCACTTGAACACCCATATCAGGCACTAATATAAGTCCTGAGGCGACACTGAGGTCCACACCTGCTGACCCAGGGGTGGCCCTTGTTGAAGGCTGCCACCCTGAGCTGTCCTGTCTCTGGGGCGGGGGCCCGCCTTCGAAGGGGGCCCCCTCTGGCCGTTTTTTGGCTCTCTAGCATCTTGTCCACAAATACGGTTGCCCTGAGCATCAAAGACCGACCTACACTCCTCAGCTTTGTGTGATCCCTTCTTGCATCGCCCACAAACATATGGTTTTTTATTTCTAGGGCGAGGCCTAGCATCTGCATTGTTTGGGCAGTGACGTTTAATGTGTCCTGGCTCCCCGCAGGCAAAACACCCTTTAGCCTTACATTCCCCTTCTAACCCGCGAGGTCCCCTCTGTTGTATAGCCGCGGCCAGGAGAGCAGCCACTCCCGAGTTGGAGAGCGGCCCCCCTATCTCTTTGTATATCCTAATCCAGGCATTGAGGTCCTTGTTCTTATGAGGAGCTATCGCTGCCTTGTACTCCTTTGTACATTGCTCAAAAATCAGCTGTCTTACCAGCGGTTGAGCCACTCCCGGATCAGAAAATATCTTATCGGCAGCATCTTGCATTCGGGCCACAAAGTCAACAAATGGCTCTGTGGTACCCTGAATTATTTTTGAAAGACACAAGGAGGCTGTTCCGGCACCACTTATCTGCTTCCAGGCGCGGAGTCCTATGGCATTGATTTGCTCATAGACAGCGCCGGGGAACTGGGTCTGGTCATCAGCGTGCCGACCTTCTCCCATAAGCATTTCCTTGTTCCACCCCCGGTTTCCTCGATTGGCGTTTTTCTCAGCCTGCTCGGCAGAGAACTCTGCATACCAGGCTCGCCAATCCAGGTAACTGCCCGAGGGCAGACAGGCCTTTGTCAGCTGAATCCAGTCCGCGGGGGTGAGGGGCCCAGAAGACAGATTCTCCAGCATGGCAATGGTGTAAGGCGCAGTCGGCCCAAAGGTTGTAACTGCATTTTTAAGTTCTCTAATCTGCTTTATCTCAAAAGGCTCCCATACATTGCGTCCCTGGCCCATAGCTACTTGTACAGGAAATATCTCGTAGGGGCCACTATCTATCCCAGGTGGATGTACCTCATGAGACAAGCGTCCCCCCTGCCAAAGCCGCCTGTAAAAATACCGACCTGTCGGCGGCGGAGCATAAGACAGCGGCCGTGATTGGGCGGAAAATGGGGGCCCGTGCATCACTTCCTGTTCTGGCGAAGAGGAAGGGAGCTCCCGGGCGGCCGCCCCGCGGCGAGGGATCGCCTCCGGAAACGGCCCCCAAGGTGGGGCGGAAGGCTTCGCCTCCCTCTCGCGCCGGGGAGCGCTCAGGAGCTCTCTACTCCTCCGCAGACCAGGTTGAGCAGAGCGCAATTCGCGGGGCAACGCTGGAAAAGAACCCTGCGACTCCTTATTGAGCGATTTAGGCTCCTGACAGCTGGTCTCTTTGGCCTCCTTGTCATTCAACTTTCCCTCGTCCTCGGAGTCAGACGACTCCGAGGCTAGAGCCCCGTCCTCCTCCTTAGCATCCTTGTTCCCCTTGACAGACACCTCTCGGGAGCTCCCTGACTGGGCCTGCTCAGATACCCTGCGTACTTTTGTAAGCTCTTGAGAGCTTTCTCCACAACCACCCTCGCTCTTAGTGTTGCTACCTAACATGTTTCCCATCTTTTAATATGTTACTCACCGCGTGAGGCCCAAGGAATCCGCCACTTACGCGTGAGCCTGAGGGGAGTCTAAAAGCCCTGTAGGTGCGCGCCACCCAGAGCCCAGGCTTATCCCCAACTCACCTGTCTCGCAGCTCTGTACTGGAGCGTTGTCCGCTGTCACGTCTCGGGGGTGATCAGTCCCCATGCGGGCCTCCAAATGTCGATGTCGCTCCTGGCCGGCAGGAAGGACACACGACAAAGTCTGGCAGTGGACAACCTTTTCTTTTATTTTCCTTCTCCGTACAGCCTGCCCTGGGATCGCTCCCAGCCGAAGCCTCCTTTGGTCCGCTCCCCGCGGCTCCTTCTGGGCTTCTACTTCCGGGCTTCTTCTTCCCCCCCAGGGGTGGCACCGGTATATATACGGGTACAGTGTCCAATCATGTTAAAGTAAGCAAGGCAAGCTGATTGGCTAACATCATCAGTTGCCAGGCAGACTATATTGTTGAGCGGGTTGTTTACGCGGTAAGCAGGAAACTAACATATTCGATGGGAGGGGCAATCTACCTCAGGCTTCACTCTTTACTACAGGCCTCACGTCCGCCAAGTGAGGCGACCGGGCTCGGGGCTGCGGCTCCCAACACAGCCCTTTTAGAACCACTTGTAGTAAGGGTGCTGTGTGTGGGCTTTTCTTAAATATTTATTTTTTCAACACGCTTTCAACCTGTCAACAAAAACAAATGACAAAAAAGGGCAGTGTTTGAAGACTGTTGATCTTTTCTGAGGATAATCTATATTACACTGACTTTATATTAATTATTATAAACCTGTGTTTGTATTGCAGATGTGTTAATATTTGAGGTTTTTCTGTAATCAGCTGGTGGGAAATCACGGCTCTGTTGTCCTGCCTTGCCACAGGACAGGTCAAGATTACCCTCTCTTCTCTATAGTGGGTCTCAGTTTCTTGTCTGCCTAGGCGTGCTCCCAGCCTGCCTGTGGGTTTCCTTTCTGTGACGGGATTAGCGTAGACATTCTTGCAAAGTGATCACTTTCAATAAATCGGGAAGTTGCTGCTCCAAGCAGGTGCCTCCTGTCTGTTTCAGCCCACACTCTCCCCTGGCCTCAGCCTTGACTAGAGGTGGCCAGAGGGTGGTCCCCACCTGTGACTTACTGCTGGCCTTTCATCAGTCCAGCCCAACACAGGGATCAAATCCCATTCCTTCCCCTAAGAGGCAGACTCGGCTTCTGGAAAAACCCCAAATGTTTAATTCTCACCTGGTAGGGCCCAGACGTGAGACACCTGAGCTTCAAGAACGTGGTAAAACATCAGCCCCAGGGCCTGAAGCCATCACAAATGTGCGGGTGGGAGAGTTCCCTTCCTGACACCCCTCAAAGTGCATCTCAGACTGGCCCCACTGACATCCTTGACAGAGCTGTGGGGTAGCAGGGAGGAAGGGCAGTGCCCCTGGGGCCAAGAGGGCAGCAGTATGGTTTATCTTTAGTGCAAAAAGCTGGTTTCTTCAGAGGCACTTTGAGTGGCTGGACCCCGCCCACAGCTCTGGAAGTCCAGGATCAACAACTACCCAGTCCCTCCCAAAGGAGAAAGCAGACGCGACAGCCTAAACAGGCCTGGACCTGGGGCACTCCCAGGGTTGCCCAGCCTTGGGCTGTGCAGCAACACCAGTGGGTGGGGCTCAGTCAAGGAACCGCTGGCAGGCTTTCTTCCAGCGGCAGGCTGTGCACCACAGGTCCCGGTGGTCCATGCCATACACCTTCCGGCACTTCTTGGCATCACCACGGGGCTTCCTGAGGGAACACACAAGGGTCACAGTGTTGTCGGCAGGACCTCCCCACTGGTACATGCCTACCCGGGCCCTCCACCTAAACACACCTTAGGTTGGCACCAAGCTTAGAGGGCAAGGCTGGTGTACAGGCTCGGACTTCAGTGGCCCGAAGCTCCAGGTGGATGGGTGCCACCAAGTCCTGAGGGGAATTGTAGCCTGGACCTTGCTCATCTCCACAGCGCCCTGAGACCTGCTCCCAGCCACCACCTGTGGCCTCACCCACCTGGTGGGCATGGTCACTGTGGCACACCTGTTGGGGAGCTACAGAGTTGAGCATGGGGGGCGGGGCCAGGGCCAAGGCCAGGGGCTGCAGCAGACTGGGTAGAGCTGGGGGCTTGAGCAGCTCTGGCAGCTCCAGATGGGGGAAGGCCGGTGGCACTGTGGCTGTGGGGGTCATGGGAGTCAGACTGGACAGCCCATTGGTTAGTGCGTCCACACCGACGTCCAGCTCTGTGTAGTAGAAGTCCTCTTCACCGTCGCTCTGCTCTGGCTCCGCCTGTCTGCTGCTAGGGACACAGTGAGTGGAGATGAAGCACTAGCTTGGCCTGGCCCCTCCCACCCGCCTCACCCCAGCGCACCCCAGCGCACCCCAGGTGCACCAGGCGGATGTGTCTCTGCATCCCAGAAGCCGTGCTCAGCACCTTTCCACAGTTCTTCCACAGGCACTGGAACATGACCTGGACCGAGCTCTGGGGTAACAGGAGCCTGGGGTCAGCTACAGTGCGTGGCTCCACCCCACCCTTGGGGGCTCCCCCCAAGCTCACCTTCCTCTTCCTCAGGGTAGGCTCCCCAAACAGAAAGTGGGCTGTCTCGGGGGGCAGTGGAGGCGATGGGGTGGATGGAGAGGACTGGTCACTGGCCAGGTCCCAGCCCCAGTCGCCACTGTTACTGCTGCTGCTGTAACTGCCTGGTGGCCGTGCTAGACCTTCCTTCCACACGTCTGGGCTGGGCTCTGAAGGAACATGCCACCCTCAGGACCTCAGGTGGACTCTGCCTGCCTGCCTGCCTGTCATGCCTAACTCTGGGAGCCTGGTGGGCAGAAATCCTTGTGCTGAGGAGGGTCCCACTAAGGAGGAACTGGCTGTGGGGTGTTGGAAAGAAGGCAGCCAACACAAGAAGGGGAGGGAGGTGTTGGCATGGCCAGGAAGAAGTGGCTGGAAACTGCACCCTTTGATATGGAGGTGGACAGCTCAAGAAGGCCTGGGGCTCTGCAGTGAGAGACCCTAAGTGGCTGGACACCCACTCAACAAAGAGGTCTCAAGAGCTGTGTTTGGAAGGTGGCACAGCAGCTTTGAGGCTCAACTTGCCTGGCAGAGCTGCTGGGTGGCTGCAGGGCTCTGGGGGACAGCAATCCTGGGCCCTGCCCCTACTTTTGAGTCTCACCTGGGCTGAAGGCTGTAGCTGGGGCCTCCAGACAGAGGGGGCTGGTGGACAGGCTTGTTAGGGCTGCCGCAGCCATGACCTCGTCCAACCGTGCTTTTCCTGGGGGGGCTCTGGAGGAGATGGGCGCAGGGTGGGTGGGGCCCAGCAAGTGCTCTAGGCCCCTCCCTTGGCCCAGCGTACTTGTGCAGGCCTGGGCACCAGGCAAGCAGCAAGCTGCCTCACTCTTGGCTGGGCAGGAGGCTTGGCTCCACCCCCAGCTCGGGTTACAAAGCCGAAAATCGCCAGGAACAGGGCACAGTCTGCCCGAGATCTGAGTTTTCTATAGCTTAGGCTTTGTCCACCGTGGCTCCTTCAGACCCTGGTGCTGGGCAGAGGTCTGAGGCCTCATGGGTGGGACCCAGGCGAGCCCTCCCGTCACACTGTTGTGCAACAGCAACTGGGGGCCTAAGGCCAGGCCTAAGAGGGCGGGAGCGAAGAGCAGTCAGCAGCAGCCAGAGAAGAGCCGGCTCCAAGCACAGGCGGGTCCTCAGGCTTCAGTGGGCCAGGACCGAGCCCGCTCCTGCTGTGCAGCCAGCCAGACGTCTGGCACGGCACCACAGGGGTGGGAAAGTGGCAGCAGGAGCCCCAGGGGTTCATGCAGTCAGTCACAGGCAGACTGTGAAGTCTTTTCTGCGAAGAAACTGACAGCCATCGGTTCCACTTCTCTTCTGCCTCTGAACACACTAATGGTTTCTGCTCAACTCCATTAGAACTGGAGCAACCTCCTCGTTCTGGACCCTAACCTGACATCGGAAGGACGGAAAGCAGAAATCTACGCCCCACTCGCGCTTCGAGCACACACCCACACATGTGCTCACACACCCCTCCAGCCCGGGGCACCCGCAGCCTGGCTCACCTCTGCGCTGGTACGGGGATTTGCGCCGAAGGCGTCCGCCGCCCCGCCACGGCCCCCGCCCAAGTCCCTGGAGTCCCTGGGTTCGCGGCCTGCGGCTCCTGCGGCAGCGGAAACTCCAAGCCCGCAACACCGCTGCCCACGGGCGGGCCCTGCCGACGCGGGAGACTCGGTGGAGACGGAGGCCCGGGGCCCAGCTCCCGCCCTAGTTCTGCCCGAGCCCGCCCCTTCCCGCGGTGGCTCCGGTGGACGCGAGGCCCCGCCCCCAGCCCCGCCCCCGGCCCGGCGGCGGGAAGCGTCCTCCGGTCCCCCGGCCCTGCTAGGCCAGAGCCACAGACAGGCACCGGTCGACGAGGCCGCCCCCCACTGCCACGCTCTCAGGGCCCAAAGTTTTCGCAGCCCCGACGCCATCTTGCTGCGAAAGAAACTTTGTCGGCGGCCCGCCCACCGGTACCTGCGGCGGCGCGGGGACTGGCGCGCGCACGGCGCGCTGGCACAGGCCTTCCGCGTTCGGCCACCGCGCCTCGGCCCTCATCGCACGCGGGTTTGTAGCGGCCATAGCCACAGGGTCCCGGCCGGCGGCGTGGGGCGGGGGGCGCTCGCGGGCCCGACCCGGCCCCGGGGGGCGTTCGGACTCCATGGCCGCCCAGCCGCCTGGCCGCCCAGGTTGCAGCGGCGAGGGCGTACTCCTAGGTCGTGGCCCCGGGCCGGGCCGGGCCGGGCTGGGCCGCCGACCCCCGCCCTAGATCCCTCGGCCGCCCGCGCCGCGCCGCCCGCCAGCCACGCCTCCTGCCCCGGCCCGCCCGGCAAGCGCGCCCATTGGCGGGCGCGTGGCATCAACACTCGGAGGGGCCTCGCAGCGCTCTTTTGGCCCGCGCCCCGGCCCCGCCCCGCCCCACCCGCCAGTCCGGGTCCGCGCTCCAGCGCGGGCCAGCGAAGGGCCGGGCCGCTCACAGGGCTTTGGCCAGCGCCGCGCGCCAGCACACTCCGCCGCCAGGCACGGCCGGCTTCCCCACTGCCGTGCTCTAGGAGCTGCCAGAGCCAGGAAGCGGCTGAGGCTGCTTGGCGTGCCTCCTGGGCGCAGGTTATTCTTTAACGCACGACTGCCCACTTCCTTCCACTTATGTAACCTCGGGGCCGGTAGCAGAGCCGTCCTGTGGGGTTCAGGGTCCAAGTCCCGGCCCAGACAATCCACCTGCCAGCTGCTGCACCGCCCCAGGACCCCCAGACCCCCAGACGTAGAAACCACACCACAAAGGGCTGGTCTCTCCTTCCCACCACGGTCTTCAGAGATGAACAGCCAGGGGTAATTAGGGCTTGAGCTCACCCTCCAGAGGCCAGAAGGGGATAGCTCTAATCATCTAGAAGATCCCTACTCGACCAGTTTTCAAGATAGGCTTTGAGGTATGTATGTCCGTTATCTGGTGACTGGGATTTATTAGGACACAGGTTTAGGGGAAGAAAGGGCACTCGCAGTGGCAGTGGCTGAGCCTGGGGCTGGGGGCTCAGGTTGGAGGAAGGAATCCAGGTACTAAGGACAAGACAGGTCTTCAAACCTTCTTTAGGGGACTTGGTGCTCTATGTCTGTCCAGTTATGCTAATAGGCAGAATGGGGGGCTATGGACCTTCAGAGGTACACACATCCCGGATGCTCTCATACACATTTTCCAGGGGGTTGCTGTCCATGACCAGGCCCCTAAGAGGAAGAGGCTCATAGGCCAAGTCATTTTCCAGGTCCAGAATTGCTCCTGTACCCTTGTGGTCCTGGTGGTCTGTGGTGGGTCCCAAGTGCTTGATTTTAGGCTTGCAGACCCTGGAGTACAGGATATCCACCTGGAGAGTGGGAGCAGACCCAGGGTGGGGTCCTCACCATCTGCTTTGCCAAGGGCCTGCCCAGCCCATCATGCCCGACTCTGGCCCACCTTACCTGAGCATCTGGCATCATCTTAGCCTTCCTCTGCTGCAGTTCTTGGGGGCCTAGATCTGTCCCTTTGAACTTCTGGATGGAAGCATACTCAGCCAATACAGGTCTGGCCCAAGGCCCTGGCCTGTGACGGCTGGTGGTCAGCCGTGTCCCTACCACAGGACTAGCAGCCAGGCTAGCTCTGGAGATGGCAGGCAGCCCCACATTGGAATAGGTGGCCTTAGGACCAATGGACAGTGTGAGGGCAGTAGCACAAAGGGCCCCAGGCAGCTGCTGAGGTGGGAAAGCAGAGGGGGCTGCCTGTGGCCTAGGGCTGTTTCTGGAAACTTCTAGCCAGTGTGGGTGTAGAAGATCCATGCTGGCAGGCCTTGGGGCTATGGGTAAAGTCAGACCAGAGGTCACTGGGGGTGGACAGCAGGTGTGGCCCCAAGCTACAACCAACCCCTCCCCATATGTCCTGGCAGTCACCTCACCTTTGCTGCCATGGGTACCACAGTGCAGCTCATGTAGCCCAGGGTCGGACTTGCTGAGGGAGCAGAGGTGGGTCTGCCTCAGGGGTGACTGGGAGCAAGGAAGGCTGGTCGGTCCCTTGTTGGTCCCACCCTAGCCCCTGGGACAAGCAGGCACTCACCACTTCTGCCAGCATCAAAGTGTTCTGTAGTTTTGCCTGGTGGCTCTGCACCTGCTTCCTGGGGGCAAGAGGACCATCAGGCCAGGGGGCAGAAGTAGAGGTAAGGGCAGCCAGCTGGCCCAAGCCCAGTGTGGACGTGCATGTGGAGGCACAATTCCAACACGGACCTGCCTCCAGTAACTTCTGGCTTGGCCACAGAGGGTGAGGGCTCAGAAGAAATGCAGGCAACGTGGACATACCTGTGGCAGGCTGTGCACAATGCCCACAGCCAAAGGAGAAGGGAGAAACACCCTAGGACCCAGAGGGCTGGCAGGGATACAGACACTGATGGCCCCATCCTGTGAAGCAGGCCTCTAGGGGCAGAAGAGAGGGGCATGAAGGGGTGGTTGAGAGATCAGGCAGCACCCCCCAACCCGTGGGCGGCTCCCCATGGCTGTGACTCAGCACACCGGAAACCCCAGGCCTTGCAGGCCTGCCCTTGCAGAGGGTGCTACCTTGCTGAGTGCCTAAAGCTCTGCATACCCCTGAACAGGGAGTCAAAAGCTGTGGAGATGGAGAAGTATGGCCTGGACAGCTGTGACCTCACCAAAGTTTTGGTCACTGCACTCTAAACCAAGGTCTGGGGAAGTCCCTGAAGTCACACCCCTGGGGCTGTGATCCACAACCCACAGACCTCATTTATGGCCCTCTACTAAGGTGCAGCCCCCTTGTCTACAGTGATGCCCATCAGCCACTCACTACACAGCCCAGCCTCTGAGCAGCTAGAGTGGAGGGATCAGCAGGCAGGACACTGAGTGGCCCCATCCACTATTTCCTGCCTCCACAAAAGGCCTATACTCTTCCGAGGATCAGGCTTGGCGGAATTGAGGGTTGGGGGCGTGCCTAAACTTTGCAGGAGTTAGAAAGGCGGGGAGTCTGGAGGTCAGGGTGAGTCCATCTAGACTAGAAGAGTAGGGTTTTTTTTTTTTTATGGAAGTGGGGGAAGACAACTAACCTGGACACAGCCAGGTCCCAAGAGTGCCAAGGGGCTTGGGAACCTGCCCCTGCTGGAGGATGGAGCGAGAACTTACCAAGGTCACAGCACAGCTCCTCCTTGGCCCTGTCTGGGGCAGCCAGGAAGGTCTTTGTGGGTCCTCAGTGAGCTCCTCACCTCACTTCCTGCCCATCTCAGTACCTTCTACCAGCCACTCAACCCTCAGCTGCAGCTGCTCCTGCTGTAGCCACACTCAGCCTCATCCACTTGCTATAGCCCCACCCAAGGTGTAGTTGTGACTCACTGGGTGCCACAAGCCACTGTTCTGAGAACCTAACTCATGTCCTCTCATACTGGATGGGAAGACAGGGCCAAGGCAAACAGTAGGTCAACTGGATGATCAGCAGCCACCAAGCACTGGCACTGGACCCCCAACCCCTCAAGCCTGCCTTGCCAACTCTGTTGTCCAAGGGCCTATCACAACTCCTCCAGCTCCACCTGAGTGAGAACTGGGCGCTAAGGCGGTACTCTGGGCTCTTCCCTGCCTGGGTCAGAGAAGGGAAACAAGAAACAACACTACTTTCCTTGACCTTCTGACCCTAGGTAGCAGCAGGGGCCTCCTTGGGCCCCTCTGGCCCAGCTTGCCTGGGGCCACAACCCTATATAGACTCCTCTCTCCCCAGAGACCCTGTAGCCAGCTGAGTCTCCACTGAGTGACACAGTATTAAAATCACTTTAATGTCCTTGGAAGGAAGATGCCCCAAGACACTGGCAGGTGGGCGTGGTGGGCAATGAAGTATCTAGAAGTAATCCTGTAGCTTATCTCCATACAACAGTGTCCACATGCTCCAGGTCAGCAAGGCTGAACTGGGGGCAATCTGAGAATGGGCTGGTCTTTCTTCAAGATGTCAGGGTGATGGTTGGTCTTCCTGCAAAGGCAGCCAGGACTTTATCCACAGGTTCTGTAAGGCTTCTAGAATTCTGTCATCTTCCTGTGGGTGTCTGCTTTCCGCTGCTCACGCTGTAAACCTGCCTCTTGAGCCCGGAGCTGCCCCAGCTGCCGCTGGGCCCCCGCCAGCTTCTCCTCCAGTTGGGCTGCTGCCACACTGTGCCTAGGGAGGGCCTGCCAGTCAGCATGGCCACCAGGACCCCCAGCTGCTACAGCCACTACCCGTCCTCCAGATCCAGACCTCCTCAGACTTAGCTGCCACTCCATGGTCAGGTGACCTCCCACATGTGTCCTGTGGGCATGGCTACCCCAGGACTTGGGCCCCACACATACCGGCCAGCATTCCGAATGAGGGCCTCCTGGATGCCCCGGATGTCCCGCTGGATCCGCTCAATCTTCTCCTCTGTCTGGAAGAGCCGTAAGCTCAGGGCCTGCTTGGCGCTCTTGCTGGCATGGTACATGTCCTTGCTTTTCTTCCCTCCAGGGGAATCCACCCCAGCCTCCAGAGCTCCAGGAGCCTGGCTCTGCAGCTTTTCATTTAAGAAGTCAAATACATTCCGAGGGGGCAGGTGGCTCCCAGGCCTAGCCTTCCTCCTCCGACACCTTGGGGGCCTGTTGGCACCAGCCTGCCCCTCCTTGATCCTTTTCTGCAGGATCTCTGCACACTGATCTAGTGACTTTCCTCGAGGTAACACCACGGCATTGATGGGCTCCACCCGGCCTTCTGCATGTCGGCCTAGACCTGGGGAAGATGCAGGGCAGATGCTGTTGTTGCAGGACCCTGGACTGCCCTGTAGCCCTCTGCCCCCCAGGCAGCACATACACACCTTTGCCAAACTCATAGCCCATCCTGGCGAGGAGTCTAGAGCCAATGCCACGTGTGTGCACCTCCCAGCCAGCGAAGGCAGAACTGCAGGTCCCGGTATCCGCAGTGACTGATTCCACTACTGCATGAGACAAAGAGCAGTGCTCCACCAAGCCAGAGGACTTTGAATGGCACCCTGGGGTCTGGCCAGTGTTGTCCAAGAGTTCAGCTCTAGAGCAGGGCCCTGATCCTCGACACCTTTGTTACCCTGCCAAATCTCCCAGGCCAGCTGTGGGTACTCTTAGCAGTGCCAGGTGACAAGTTAGCTGCACTGTGGCTTAGCAACCTTCACCAAGGGCACAAAGTTCAAAAACCACAAATTTATACCCAGAGCTAGGGACACCTCCCTGTCTTTATCCTAACCAACCCCTTAGAAGGCTGGATACTGCCTGTAGTTCCCCTCCTGACATCTCGAGCCCAGTTGTCTGGATGTCCAGTTGCCAGGATCCTTCTGCACCAATTTGCCTGATTTGCAGGCTCTAAAGTCTGGGAATCCATTCAAGAGAGCCACTCTTTCCTGCACACCACAAACACCCAATTGTCTGGTCTCCTCCTATGAGCCCTGAGCAGCTCTGTCACTAGTAGTCCTCCCCCACAGTGTGGCAGGGGAATCCACCCCAGCCTCCAGCTCCCATTATCAGGGAGCTTGTGATTGCTGCAGTATTCTGATGGCAAGGCCTGGGTCTCTTGCCTTGCTCTGTCATGCACTCCCTGGTCCTCCCCACTGACCTTTCTGGTTTCTGGGCACTGAGCTGCTGTCATACCTCTGGCATAGCTGGAGCCACCCAGATCACTACTATCTGAGTCAGAAGACTCTTCAGCTTCTCTCCGAAGTGGGGGTAGGATGCTGTCTCCTTCTACCACAGCTTCTTTCAGCAGCAGTGAGTCAAACTTGACCGTGTAGTAGCCATTGTCCACATCTGCAGAGGACAGAGAAAGACTGTAGTCAATAGCCTCGACAGGAGGAGTAACTGGTTAGCAGCCCTATGGAAAGAGACAAGTGAGGCTAGATTCACTCCTCTTGGGTCCAGACAGGGTCCCAATGCCCAACCCAGAGGTGGCAGGGGTGGTCATGAAAAGCAGAGAGGCTTTCCAGGAAGGGCCAGCTTTAGTAGAGCCCCCTTAGGGAAGTCCTTACGGCCATCCTCACCAGTGATTCGTGCCGGGTGCCAGAGGCCATCTTGGTGCTTGGCCAGACATGCAGAGCCAACCTGCAGCAAGCTCAAGTCTGGGTCCTGGAAGGGGCGCAGCTCATCGACAGAGACCACTTGCCCATGGGAGAACATGCAAAGGAGCCGAAGAAGACAGTGCTCAGATGCGGCCACAGCGGTACACAAAGCCAGGAGCTCAGGCCTTTGCAGGCTGCTTCCCAGAGTGACAAAGAGGAAGACATATATGCAAATACACATCCACTTTGTCCCTCACACTCATATACAACACACGCATATGTATTCTCACACACATACATACATATATATATGTGCTTTCAAAGACACATATCCACTTTCAATACCTATATATGTGTATATCTATACATATGCATTTCCCTCACATATACATGCATTTATATACTTTCACAGGCAAATACACACATTACATATAAAATCACATATATTTGCATATACATATATGCACATACATTTCCACATGCATATAGTTTCACTGATGCACTCACACATGTACACACGAATATATAAAATATTAACATATGAATACATACACCACACACATACACATATGTATACACACATGCATGTATTCTTACACTCAAATTCTCTCAGGAAATTCCTCATATTGCTACCTAGCTGGGGTGACAATCAGGCAGAGGGCCTTGTGATTATGTCTCCCTAATACCAGAAATTAAGCTTCAGACACAATAATTATTTAAGGCAGGTATATTAGGGGATGGGTATGTATGTATGTGTGCGCTGAATCTTCCCCAAATCAACAAGAACAGAAGTGGTACTGTCACTTTAGATATAAGTGCATCAGTAAAATTAAAACCAAAACTAAGAGAGAATGAAAAGGAAATGTGGGGCTAGACACTGGACTGCAACTGTGCACTCTGCCAAATAAAGACACGAGAAAACTAACCACAAACTACTATTACACGTCATCATTTCAGACAGGAAACTATTTAATCCCAGAACAGTCAGGACTGGCACTCACTATATGGCAGAGCCAGGCGTATCTTCTAGGCAGGAATCAGTGGGTGGAAAAGAAGGAGGAGGCAGAGAAGCAGTTTCAGTAGCCTCCCACTGGCCTCCCTGGCCAGAATTCTGAGCAGATCCTTCTGACCACTCAGCACCTTTAGGCCCACAGGACACACCAATAACCAGGCTGTACCAGGAGCTCTCAGACTGCTCCAGAAGAATTCATTTTAGACTGTGGTTGAAAAGTCCCACACAGCTGAGGACTCAAAGAATGCATTCAAGAAGGCAGCCTAAGACATGCATGGTGGCGCAAACCTGGAACCCCAGCACTCTGTAAGGCTGAGGCAGAAGACCTGCACGCATGAGCCCAGCCTGGGCAATTTAGTGACTCAGTGAGACCTTGTCTCAAATAAGACAGGCAGACAGACAGACAGACAGAGGCAGGCAGGTTAAATAAAAGGAGGCCTGATACAGAGGTATGATTAGACTCCCCCCACACACACGTCAATTAGTCAAACCTTCAGCAATATTAGAAACCTTAACATCTGACTTGGCTCAAATGTCTCTTGTGTTGAATGTCTCTTATCTGATCATACTGTGTGTGTGTGTGTGTGTGTGTGTGTGTGTGTGTGTGTGTGTTGTTGTTGTTGTTGTTGTTGTTGTGGATTACATTTAGGGAGCACTGAGGCTATAGACTAAGCCTTTTTTTTTTTTTTTTGGTACCGGGGACCAAACTCACGACCTCGAACTTGCCAATTGAGTGTCTATGCCGCTGAGCTAAATCCCTGGCCCTGACTAAGCCTTTTTTATTTATTTTGAGACGGCCCTGGATAGTGAGGGGTAATTCTATACAGTATCTTTTGTGGGGCCATGTTTTGACTGCACCCTGTCACACGGGTTTGTGTAGAGATTTTCACATATGGTGCCACGTCAACGCTTAAAATTTTTGGATTTTGGCCTTTTGTGTGTGTGTGTCTGTATTCTGTTTTGTTTTGAGGCAGGTTCTCACTATGTAGTACAGCGTAGCCTTGGACTTGCTTATGTAGTCCAGGCTGGTCTCAACCTCACAGCAATCTTCCTGTTTCAGCCTCCTCAGTACTGGGATTACAGGTGTGCACCACCACACTTGGTCAAACTTTTTGGATTCTGAAGCAGCAGAAAGTGGATATGGGATGGGGGACCAAATCTAGGGCCTGGCAGCTGAAAGCAGGAAACTTGGTAAAGACTTTTGGGGAAAACTGACAACTCTGATCACTGGGGCTATGATCCCAGTTGGGATAAGCACTGAGTCAGGTGTTTAACAAGGAGATTTCAAAATGCCAGAGGCATAGCACGACTCTGCTGTCAGCACCCTCGCTCTCTAGGGAATAACCATAGGGGTTGGGGTCAGTGCAACCCCACCAAGGGGAAAGTGAAGACAGCAGGAGGAAGGAGATGGCCAGGGTACTCTCTGATGCATGAGCCTAGCTGGTTACACACAGGAGCTTTTTTGGCTACAAGTATTTGAGAGTAACTTCTGCCTATATCAATGACCATTAAACTGCAAGACAGAAGCAACATTTAGAAAGACAGAATATAAAACAAAATTGAAAATATGAGCAGAGGCTACACACTATGAGGAAGGCAAACTTTATAGTTTAAGTCCAGTAAACTCCAAACAACTCAGAAAAACAATTCAGAATCCAGGTAAACAACATATCTGCCTTCTGTGCTACATTCTTTTGAGAAGTTACCTGGATGTTTAGCACAAAAATTCTGAGGCAGGGACACAGGAAGATGTGAGGTACATTTACAGAAGAAAACCAGCAGACAGATCTAAGGAGGCCAAGATGCTGAATTTACCAAAGACTTCAAAGAAGTTATTATAAGTGCATTCAAAGACTTAAATGAAAATATGATAATGGCTCAAGAAACAGGAGCTGTTAAAAAAAGAAATGAAAATTATATAAAAGGAATCAAATGGAACTTCTAGATTTGAACAGTACATCACTGAGAGGACAAGCTCACTAGATGCAGGGAGAGGGATGAATGAGTGAAAGGGCTCACAGGGTTTTCAGGACTGTGTGATACTATAATGGCAAATCTGTCTGTCCAAACTCACGGAACACCAGAAGGGAACCTTAATCCTTCAAATATTTAGAAAAGAAGAACTTCAGAAATGGTAAAAATATGGGTGATACAAAAGCATAAATCATAAACCATAAGCTACATAAGCATAAACCAGTTACGGTGGGCACTCTGCTAATCCCAGCGCACAGGAGACTGTGGCAGGACACTGCAAATTCAAGGCTCCCTTGGGCCACACAGGCCAGTGTACAAGGCCAGCCTCAACTGCAAAATCAGACCCTGCCTCAGACACCGAACCAGATTGAACTGAACTGAACCAAACCATAAAAACAATCTGCAATCTGCTTTTTCTCTTTTCTTCAGATGGTACTAGGGATAAACCCAGGGCTTTCATGCTGAGTACATAACCGGTTTTTTAAAAAACTTTTTATTTTAACACAGGGTCTTACTAAGTCACTCAGTTGCCCAGGCTAGCCTCGAACTTGCAATCCTCTTGCTTCAGCCTGCCAGACTTCTGAGATTATGGTCATGCACTACTATACCTGGCTTCTTTTGATTTCTTAAAAAGTGTCAAGTAGAAAAAGCTGGGTCATGCCTGTAGTTCTAGTTATTAGAGAAGCTGAGGCAGGAGCATCATTTGAGCCCAGGATTTTGGGCCAACCTGGGCAACATTGCATGTATATCTGTCCTTTTTTTTCTCTTTCTCTCTCTCTCTTTTTTTTTTCTGTGCTGGGATTAGACCCAGAGCCTTAAACATGCTAGATAAGTACTCCACTGCTGAGTTAGATCTTTGGCTCTTCTTTTTTATTTTGTGAGAAAGGGTCTTGCTAAATTGGCCTCTAATGTTCAATGTTTCTTCCTCAGCCGCCCAACTAGCTGGGATTACAGACAGGTACCACCACACTTGGTGAGATCTTGGTCTCTAAACAAAACAAAAGAAGATTACTCAATAGTGTATAACATATAATCTTGAAAGGTTCTTGCCCTAGTATGAATTACTGTACAGTTATGGCGGTGGTCTAACATGGTGGAAGGCCACAGCGGGAATGCTTTACCACTTCCTGCTTCTTCTTCAGCTCTAATTGCAACTCCCCTTCCTGTTTACATGCACAGAGAATTCCAATCAGTTCCTCACACATCATCAGTATCCGTCCTATGTACCACTTCCTGATCAGAGGTCATATAACCCTCTGTCTTTCTGTATCCGGTTGAAGGAGACAGCCCAACTGCCATGGGTTGTGTACTCCTTTCCACGTCCTCAACTCAATAAACCTGTTCATTTTATACTTTTTGCTTCTCTGGTGCATCAGAATACTATAACAGATCTAATATGCATGACAAAAGCAGATGAAGATGGGAAATAAAAGATTTTCTATGCTTCCTATGATTAAGCAGTACTAACTTGAAGTAGTGTGTTCCGTTAAAGATGCGTATTGCAATCCCTAGAGTACTCACTAAAAACAAACATAAAAATGTGTACCTACAAGAAATCAACAGCAAGGGGCTGGGGATTTAGCTCAGCAGCATAAGCGCCTGCCTTGGAAGCAGGCAGTCCTGAGTTTGATCCCCGGTACTGATAAAAAGGAAAAAGACAAAAAAAAAAAGAAAAAAAAAAAAAAAAAAAAAGAGAGAGAGAGAGAGAGAGAGAGAGAAATCAACAGCAGAGATGGATGTCACTAGAATGGCAGGCAGCCGGGGATTTAAGTCAGTGGCCTAAGCGTCTGCCTGGCAAGCGCAAGGTTGCCAGTTTAATCCCCAGTATCCAAAAAAAAAAGTTAGAATGGCAGGCAGCTCCAGCATCTTTCTACTGTAACAGCAATTGAGCTATCAAGACCTATCAGAAGCTACCTTTTCAGAATGGCTGAGTTCACAAGCCTTTAGGGGTGCATCCACATACATGAGAATAAATAGTACTTGAAAAAAACTGCTGGGTGAGGCAGGAGGATTGCTGCAAGTTCCAGGCCAGCCTGAGCTACACAGAGTTCAAAGCCAGCCTTTACTGCATAGTGAGACCCTGTCTCAAATAAAAAACAAAACAAAACAATCACAGTATTCAAGAATG